ACCTTCGGATCGATTAGAAACGTGTGAATACATACACTATGGCTATATGTTTCACAACTGCCCACAACACAACATCTAAAAACTCTCTCTCAAATAAAAATAAAATAGACAAAAAAAAAGAAAGAAAAAACGCCGACCGAAAAATGTATATCATTTAAAAGTATACTGAACGACCAGTGTTATTATGGCTCAGGGTGATGACTTCCTCTCACATTTTGTCATTTGGTGGCGCACTTTCGGCGAGAGTCGGAAATTCCAGAAACAGTCGATGATAGGTGGGCGTGGCTACAACAGGAGAAATATCCCAAATTTACTTGGATACGAGTAATCATTTTCAGCAAAAAATCAATAACTACCCTTTTCAGTGGGACACAGATCTAAAATGGGAAACGTGAGGGTGGGCATAGCACAGGCACTTTAATTAGTATCTTTTATGACTTGGAAATAACAGGAGTATTTTTTTTTTTTTTTGAGAAGTAAAATTTCAACTAGTTGGTCATGTTTTTGCAATCAAATGACAGCCTTTCACTCTTTACATGCGATATGAACTAAATATTTTGTTCATGGATGTGGATTCCGTGAGCTGTTAATCAGTGGGAAAAATCATTAACATTCACAATAGAGTTCAAACGTAACTTAACATTTAGCTGGCTTAAAGCTAGATTAGCTTAATTTCAAAGATCACCGTATACACATTAGTGAGGTATATAAATGTACCAAAATGAGCCAAGTACGGGTGAAAAGTACGGGTTGTACTTTTCAGAATATAGCGAGTACGGGTGATATTTGTAGCAAGTACGGGTGATATTTGTAGCAAGTACGGGTGATATTTGTAGCGAGTGCGGATGATATTTATAGCGAGTGCGGTTGGTATTTGCAGTGAGTACGGGTGGTATTTGTAGCGAGTGCGGGTGATACTTATAGCGAGTGCGGGTGATACTTATAGCGAGTGCGGGTGGTATTTGCAGTGAGTACGGGTGGTATTTGTAGCGAGTACATGAAGGTAATTTAGTGAGTACGAATGATAAAATATAGAGAGTACAGGTGGGGGTATTGCAGGGTAACATGTACGGGATTTATACAACAATTACGGGTGCAGCAAAACACTTCACTGAGAAAGAAAATATATGGTACAAACTGAAACTAGGTCAAATTATTTAATGTAAGTAAATACTACAAGGAATGAGTTGTTCATTAATTAAAATTGCTAGTGTTATTAAAAGACAAAGCCAGTGTTAGAGTTACTCTACTGTTAAGTACCGTAAAATCTGTATTAGAAGCTGCATTCCTAATAGAAGTCGCACCAATTCTTTTTGAATAATTGAGAACCAAAAATTCATCATTTCTCATATGTTTAGGTGCTCTAATAGAAGCCGCATCCTGTCCATTGCATTGTACCATTTTAATAGAAGCCGCGGTTTCTAATACAGATTTCACAGTACTTTAGTTTTATTTGGAATTCATTTTTGTGGTATGAGTTCCTTAAGGCCTCCTTACCTATAACTCTAAACCTAACTGCTCCCCCAGTGCTCTTTCCGTGATTTAATTGGTGCTAGGGTTTGGGGTGCTTAAGGAACTCTTTCCAATTTTTTTCTGTCAAAATTTAAGTAGTTCACAATATATTATATGTAATGGTGTTTGTTCTCCTTTTGCAGTGGTTATTTTGATCAGCCAGCAGATACCTATGTTGCTGCAGTTATCTTTTCAACCATTGCATGGTTGTCTGTGATATTCTTTTTGAGATGTTCTCTCAAAATGTTACTCTATTACCATGCTTGGATCCATGAACCCAGAGGCAAGATGACTCTGAAAACCAAACTATGGAATGTATGTATCAGACAAAATCTCTCTTAACTTAATATTAGTAGTCAGACAAAATCGCCCCCCCAACCTGGTATTAGTAGTCAGACAAAATCCACAACTCAAATGGAATGATTAGCCACAAGATTCTTCATCTTGATACAAGTCATGTCACTTGTGCACCATGTACATCGCCAATACAGTCAAAGTAGCATTGAAAACATATTTGATCATGAAGGCATTTAACATATGTTTATGTGATAATGTAAATAGTTAAATTATATTAAATTTGGTTCCTTGCTAGTGATTTGAAGTTTTGTCGTGATGTGCTCTTGATCAATTTGTGTTCTAAAATGTGCACACAAATAAATTATTATTGTATTATTCAATGAAAGCTGACATGATGCATGTATATTTCCACAGGGTGTGTTGATGCTGCTATGTTCCAAAGCCCCAATGTTGTACAGCTATCAAAGTGCTTTGCCAAATTTAAGACTACCTAAGCTGGAAGACACCATGACTCGAGTGAGTATACTGTCTCAATTCCTTATTTATATTAGAAACCACCATATGATGTTGTCATGGTAACCAAACATGGCTGCTGATTGTACATGGTCATTGATTGGCTGATTGTACATGGTCATTGATTGGCTGATTGTACATGGTCATTGATTGGCTGATTGTACATGGTCATTGATTGGCTGATTGTACATGGTCATTGATTGGCTGATTGTATTATGACAGCAGATTGGCTGTTTCTAATGACAGTTGCATTCTCACTTTGTAGAAAATCTCACTAACCACTTTAAGCAGCATAATGGCATTGGATTTTGTACAGTTCATGAGAAATCATATTCAACAGAATACTGGGGATGTTTGAATGGCTGAATAGGCAACACAACCTTATTTGCAGGCTAAACTAGCTAATTTTATCATTTTTAATCAGAACAATCAGTAGTAGGTGTTCTGCCTATGATATAAACTAAGAATGCAACTTTAATTGCATCGAATACATCGATTAGTCGACCCACTCAAAAAATTCCATGAGGAATTTGTTGTCATCTTTGAATGTACTCATTTAGTTGGGCATCTGTCACAGGCTATTGTTTGGATTCATTTAATCCAACCACGTGAATCATTTCTGATACCTATCAATACAAAGATGTTTCTTTTTTTATATGTCTGTACAATGTTTATTATTCTCCATATAACTGTTCCTTTTAGTTGCCCTGTACCTGGTTTGAGTCCTTGTTCAATGCCAACATGCACATTGAAGTCACGGTTTGGCTATCAATGACTTAGTGACATTTGTTTTCTTTTGTCAGTATCTGCGTTCCATTCGTGGTTTAACTACTGATGAACAGTATAACAGAATGAGTGGTTTAGTAAGCGAATTTCAGAATGGTATTGGAAAGAAGTTACAGCGCTACTTACTGCTGAAGTGGCTGTTTTCCTCTAACTACGTCAGTGATTGGTGGGAAGAGTATGTCTACCTGCGAGGGCGCTCTCCAATTATGGTCAATAGTAATTTCTATGGATTGGTAAGTTGAATTTTGTCATTATATTTAGAGTGAAGGAAAAAAAAAGCATATGGTGGTAATATTTATGTTAAGTTTCCAATTTTGTACATCTACCATCGAAAACAATAAAATTTACTGCTTCTTAAAAGGTTGTATTTATACTAAAGTGTGTCTACACTCATTTGATGAACCATTTTTGATAGTAATTTGGGACTGTTGTCTTTCATTAAAGTTTTACTACAAGCAGGAAAAAAAAAGTGTAATGATAAGACTATCATGAGAATACTTCAAAGTATGCACTCGGCAGTACAGGGTCACATTCACTTGTATTTTGCAGTATTCTTGTGATACATTGCAATAATATTGCTTTATTGAAGAACTATTCTCTAATAGGTACAAAAATACCTAAAATAAATTGTTTGTAGAAATTTAAGTACAAAAAATGTGTGAACTATTCTCAAAAGTAACAGGCATTTTACGTGTCAGTGTATATATTTCTTGATAGAGCAAACATGATTTGATTTCTTTTATATTTATTTGTTTTTTGAGGGCTTAGATTAGTCTCCTATTTAATGATGCATTGTGGGTATTAATGGTAATGCACTATTACCTGTAGTAGGGTAGTATCTAGTAACGCATTTATTTATTACCGTATTTGGCCAGTATGGCGATGTGTACCAATAATTGGTTCGACATCGTTATCCAACCTCTTATTCAGTGTATGCAAGCATGACTGAAGCAACACATGTGGCTGCAAATTTCTCTACTGTACTCGACCGCGTTAGCGCCCATGCCCGGGCAAGCGCCCACCCCCCACTATTTGGGGTCACATTCGGCAAAGTGTCCACCGCTTCAAAATGCATACAGCGTGGATAACGACCGCTGTGAACATGTTGTGAATGCGTAGAACGTGGTAACCGTGCGTTTCGACAATGACCTGTTAATACAAGTAAAATGCGGTGAATATTTAATGCCATAATCAGTTTACCTCTCAAAAATGGCTAGTTACTAGTTTTTTTGGAAAAACTATGTCGTTTATTCGCTGAAATCAATTCCTACAGATCGTACTTCGACATCGATAATTCACTTCCGCATTGCGTTACTGGAAAGTCTTCAGGAGTTTCCGAAGAATTGCGTCAGCACAACACAGTATTCTGATTGGTTAATAACCAACTTGACCCATTAGGTCAAAGGACGCTGCTGCAGGTCAAATCTGCAAATGCATTATGGCGGAAAGTGATTTTCATCGAGAGTTTGCGTACGATCCTACACCTTCGTCAGTAGAGATAATATGACAATTTTGACTTTGACTGTGTTCCAACAGACTCAAACGTTTTTAATTTCGTAAATTCTGGTAGTATGTAATTAATATTGTAATAAAATGTGTATATTTTTGTGATCATTTCTGTTTCTTCATTGTGAAAATCAATGATGACTCAACTAATTCCGAAATTTGATTTTCCCTCAAAGAGGTGATCTGTCACCTGATGAATAAAATTTTTCATTTGCACTCTTTTTCGAGGGGGATGCTAGAGTAAACGCCCACCCCTAATAAATCGTGATTTTCTGAGTTGAGGCCCCTGGGCGCTAACGAGGTCAAGTACGGTAGTTTCTC